AAAAATAAAAACATAAGAGAAGTGAGACTATTATTGGTACGCCGCTCGATATGTTCAGCGTTTGGCGGCTAGTAATAATATCATCGACTTTTATGTTTTTTTTCCCCACAAGCGAACTATGTACTGGTTACCGTTAGTGTATTTTCTTTCTAAGCTACAGAGTATAATGAGATTTTGTTTTATAATGCCGCTAATCACAGTAATATAGGCTACGGTAATTATATATTATTGATTTAAGTGCAGTATGAAACTTAAGCTGATGCCAGACTCGAAGTGGTATAATTGATTTCAAGTTGAAGCCAGAAGAAAATACGTTATTTTGGGGGGTGGGGGTTAGACTAACCGGCACAACGTGTTGGAATTCAGTATACTTCTTACGCATCATGTTGCATTATGACACTTAAGTGTGTTATAAGAGGAGAGCGTGTAAAACCTACACCCTATCTTGAGGGCGTCTGGGTGATGTCTGCTGCGGCGCGCGTCCTCAACCCCTCAAGGTCACATGATGCGCGGGTGACGTCACTGCTTGGCTACCGGCTCCACCAATCACGAGAGTGAGAACGTTGGTAGGCGGAGCCGGCGTAACCAATCAGCGAGGCTGGCTCGTGTGACGTAGCGTTTCCATAGAGCAAACGCACCAATACAGTCGTTGGAAACTGGCGCTGAAGGCTAGTGGGATACAAGGTTCTACGTAATATTTATCAAATTCTACCTGCAAGCGATCAATTGAATAAGCGGATGCACGCGGGCTGTTGCACAACACCTGACGGAGTTCATTAACCATGACACCACCACAGACGGAGACCCAAGATAGTATGCTTGACGCGCCGAGGCTGGCGGCCTCTGGCATTAGTTTAAAGGCCGCAGATTGTAGGGTGTCGTGTGGCGGGCCGGGGACAGCCTCTACCTCATAGCATCTTCCTGCCAATATCTTAGATAACCTTGACACATTAAGACCAGTGCAGTTATGACGCACATCAAACAACCTAACTAGGCACGTACATGTAAGGAGGGTGAGCGAGGTTCGGTCCGTCTGGGATCCTTATCAAGTCGAAACTGGGAATTATATGGTAGGACGCCATCATGGGTCTCGTAGCATAGTAGTCTACGTGGGTTCAGGCCCCGGGGAGGACAGCAATACTTGAGCACGTTTCCTCTCGCGTGATACGTCTGTTCACCTAGCAGTAAATAGGTACCCTGGGGGTTAGACAAGTGAGTCGAGCCTGGCCTCGGGCGGGGCTTGGGGAGTAGAAGAACTCCCAGAACCCTCTCCGGGTATCAGGCAGGCAATTAGGAAAATCAGTAGGAGGATTCGACCCTATTCCCTGGTAAATGCTCTAGTCTCGACCACTCCACGACGACATGGTGAAAAGCTTTGTCACCTGGGATTCACCTCCATCCTCTAGGGTTCCCGAGGCTTCCACTGAAGCCTACTCGTTTTTTATTATTATTTTCTACCACAGACGTGGCCACACATTTACAATGCTAACCAGCATATTTATATTTTCTTCTGTCCTCCATGAACAAGGTGAGAGATCTGTTAAAGGTATGACAGGGATAGTTGGTGGTGCAGGGGTAAGGAGCGAGGCCTGGCAGTACCCAGGTCCAGCGTTCCAAGCCTCAATCGAAGCTGCGATTGATTTTATCTTCGATATCTCACATTTATGCGATTTCCCTTTTGTAAATAATAATAATAGAGCCATAAACATTACGTTGGGCTTTGAACGACCTCACAGCGTTTTGAAGCTGATAAACTTTATAAACACCAAGCCGCCATGATTGAGGAAAGATGTACAGGTTTCGCTAGTGGACGGAGAGGGGGCATGATTGATATTGGTGGTGGTGGTGGTCAGAGATGGGCCAGCGGGGAAACAAGACCAATACAAGGTCCGTACATGTCAGGTATTTAGGCTTTAAACTTTTCAAACCAGTTTTCTATGGTGGAGAAACAAAGATCTTTTGGTTGTTGGGCCGTGTTGCCTTCTGGCGCTCAAACTTGAGAACTATGTAGTTCACGGAAGCGGGTTCGATTCCCACTGAATGGCTTTAATATTTCTCAGAGGATATATCACGTTCTTGTGGTTACATTTTGCTTCTGAATTGTTTTGAGACTCGTCAGTTGGCCAAGGAATTTCTAGAACTCGAATAGGCTTAACGTATTGTTGTTTGAGATTTAGCTACTCAGAACGAAATGTTCATGTTGCATGAGCTATGTTGAGCCTGGCTTAACGATTGATTGATTGATAAAGAATAAGCCATCCAAGAGGTGGCACGGGCATGAATAGCCCGTAAGTTGGCTTAACGTAGCTGCTCAAAAAATTTATATTCACTTGCCCGGGTGTGGTGTCGGGAGGTGGTCGTGATGCTACCGTCCCCGGGGCCGCGGGGACGTCAGTCCTCACGGGCTCACCATAGCCCGTGCTACATGGACATTTCGTTCTGAGTAGCTAAACACGGGAGACATCTCCCGTCACGCAGGGTGCAGTCGCACCTCCACAGATCTCCACAGATGGCTCAAAAGGGCCACCACTTACGGGCTATTCATGCCCGTGCCACCTTTTGGGTGGCTTAATCTTCATCAATCAATCAATCAGTAGCTAAATCTAATACAACAACAACAACAACAGTCCTGGGAACCATGGCCCGGTAACCGGCAATCCTAATAGTTTTACTGAAGCAAAATATTCTTTTATTTAAAGTTGCAACGAGATAAATATGTTTGTCTTTGGTTCTAATCTCAGAATCTAATTTTCAGAACGGCTTGACAACTTTTATGGTCTTTATTTTGTGTGTAGTTAAGCCAGTTCCTTCTGGGCCTTGTGGCCGTATTGTGACAGGATATCAAATATGATGGAGAAGTAGGATAATGATTCACTTTTTATCCTGTACTTCGAAAGTATATTAGTTTGGTGTTTGGCTTCAGGTCTATCAACCTCTGGAGGTTTATTAAGGCCGCCACAACAGCCTACTGATCAACCAACAAGTACAGTATACTATATATACAGTATGTCAACATTATCCACGAGTAAAGTCAAAATACAGTGTGTGTATACTGAGAAACTCTGTATAATCGGTGCGTATATCCGAGTGAATATTATATAGTATTCTGAATATTGTATGTTAGCCCGAGCCTTCCTACCTCTCCCACCATCGCTGTAACTTTCTGTAATCTAATCTCACTCCTTTCCATTCCCTCTAATATTGCCGGAACAAAAATGGACATGTTCATGAAGCAATTAGACATATTCCTGCGATATGTGCTGGATGAACTCGGTTGTAGTGGATATATGGGCCTGCGGGCCGCTACACGCAACAGCCTGTTGGACCAAGTTGTGACAAGTTGAGCCTGGCCCGGGGCCGGGCTCCGGGAGTAGAAGAACTCAGAGCTCGCTCAGGTGTAATCTGACTCTACCACTACTACCATCACCACTATCACCGTTACTAATACCATTATCATTTCAACATCGCTGTCAACATTTCATTCACCTGGGCTCTAAGAGACTCGAACCGCGGTCCCCACACGTGTGAGATTGAAGCTCTATCGATTGATGGAAGCTGGAAACGCAAATGAGCCAAAGGAATATATTGAAATTGAAATAAGTTTATTGAGGTAAAATACACACAAAGGGATGAGGTAGCTCAAGCTATTCTCACCCCGTTCAGTACATCGTGTTAATACATACATAGACACACATCACAAGCAATAAACGTATTACCGAACATTCTGAGAGATAAACATACATTTTCTCCTTTACACTAAAAGGAATATAAGAAAATACTCATATCCTGTACGTGTGGTCAACAAGTGGAATACAATGAACAAAGAAAAACAAAGAGTTGTGGAAGCCACGTCCATCCACAACTTTGAAGCCAGATTTGACAAAGAATTTGAACGTGAAAATAGTTAAAATGCAGCAGATACAAGAGGGCATAAAGGCTGGACCTCACTGCCCCGTCGACACTCTTAGGTACGCACCACCAATACCATCATTACCTCTACAACCACCATCATTATTACCACTACCATTACCACCACCACCACCTCTACATCCACAGCCAGGCTCCGGACCTACCTACCTACCTAGTTGGGAGCTCCAGGGATCACTGTCGCCCTTGTCAACGGCCTGATGACCAGACTGTTGGTGCAAGCGTTCGTTGTCAGTCTGATGTAGGCACCTCATATGATGCGTGTGGTGTGTGAACTCTGCTGCATGTATTCTGACTCCATCTGACTCTCTACTGTAATATTTGATGATCATAGCTTGTGCATACAAGTAAATTCTCTGATATACCCCCGTATGTGTACAATTTAATTCCATCAACTTTTCAATGATTTCTTCATCCTTGTTATATATTTTAGTATAATATTATAACAAATACGAGCCTTAGTTGTGCAACCTAGCCACACATGCGGCACATTTGGTCCATGTAGAGCGCCGCAGCAGCGCTCACATGTTCCTCTCCAGTGTGTGTGGGTTTATTGTGCAATTGTCTTCACACAAGGTATTCTAACCTTCATTATAAATTAGTTGCAATACCCTTTTTTTATAGATTTTACAGGGATTTTACATGTGTGAGGGCCTTAAGCCTATAGGTGGCCCGCAGCGTTGGGGTATAGCGAGCTCGTCGGGCGGTCTTAGACCAGAGGTGTGTATCTGAAGGTATGCGGTCTTTCCACCTCCTCTTCTGTAAGCGCGTTGCATGTTGGCTACCAGGCCGGGTGATCTTGTTGTCTTTATATCAAGAATGATGTGGGTAAGTAATCACTGTGGCAAATATGGTGAATATTGAATCATTTTACAGATAAGTATGCTGGTGACCTTGAAATAAGCTGCATGTGCTTGAAATAAGCTGCAGTATTAATGATCTTCTGATAATGTAACATGGTGCCCTAACACTATTGCACAAGGGCAACAGTCATATTTGTGGCGATTTGATAAAACATTAATACGGCCTTTGCCATGCTTTCTTCTTGGTCTGATATGTTGTGTGCATTGCAGGCTGTGCACGTGGAGGGTCAACTGGAGGCCGAGAGCTTCAGGTGCCTGTGGGTGGGGTGTAAGGTGTACGACAAGGCCTCCTGCTCCGTCTCCTGGCTCGAGCGACACGTCCTCACCCACGGTGGTCACAAGCCCTTCAAGTGTATTGTAGAAGGATGTGGCCAACGATTTACGTCGCAGGTGAGTGATTGGTGGATATAAGTGTTGTGGTGGTGCTGGGTGGTAGGTAGAATGTGGTGGGTTGTGAATTGTGGTGGTGGCAAGTTCTAGTAGGGTTTAGTGCTGGTGGTTGGTTGGCAGTGGTGATCTAGCTCATACTGTTGGATTTCAAAAAGTTCAAGTTTTATATTACTGAATTAGCCCAAATGGCATTCAAACAAATTGGAAATGGAACTAAAGGACCTAACTAACCCTGTTCAAGCAATCCTAGGTCAAACACATGCTATATTAGGCCTAATAAAGTATGAGGCATATACGATACACAACATTCAAAGTGTTTTTTTATGTTTATTTAATACAGTCTAGGTTAGAGCAGTCAGATGTTAGACATGGTATGGCGTGTAGGGATAGGTCGAGATGAAGATGCTTGTTACGTGATGCTGGTAGAGTCGGTGCTGCTGGCAAAGGCAGGTAGGATATAGTACTGAAGGTCGCTGGAAATGCACAACTTGTGTGTGGCCTGGAACCAAGAGCAGAGAGTTCGAGTGAGGCCGGGGGTAGAGAGCTTTGGTGGGTGAGAGTGGAGAGCTCGGATGGGGATGGTAAATGTTTCGCATAAATATATGGGGAATTACCTGTTACCCTATACTTAATTGTGTTTTAGATATAATTTTATTAACATCTCCAAAAAAATTATCTCTAATCGAGTTCAAGGAAGTACTTTATTAACATCTCCATAGTGTACCTCATACTGTAATGCAGTCTGGTGTATTGTAAAATATGATATGTGATAAAAAAAATGGGTGGTGAAGCTGAATATAGGAAAAAACAAAGAGTTCGTGTAAAATGAAATATTATATGTAAAGTTTTATGTTACATTTAGGGTTGCTTCAGTAGGAAAAATGATAGGGAAAAATTACATCACCAGCAATCAGCCATATAAATAGATGAAATATGCTGGAGAAGAATAAGAGTAAATTTTTTAATGAGTGGCTCTTAATAAATCCATGTTGTTAACTTTATTTTTTTATCTATATTTTTCAAGATGTAAATGAATGGCTTTTGCAATTATTGATTCCATTTATTTTCCTACAATAAATGTTAAGTTAATTGGATGATAGTTCGATGCAAGGGGATGTATCTCTCTCTTTTAAAATTGGCACAACATTTGCAACCCTCCATGATTACAGTACAGGTACTCTGCTTGACTCAAAGGATTCATTAAATACTGTATGTAAGAAAAGGGCTCGCTAAGCACTTCAATTCGTTTTTTTTTTTTAGCCCCCTGGCAAATACTGGGCTTCCTAATATATTGGGCTTTAATTTTTCTATTTAATAATAATAATAATTTTTATTTAGGTAAGGTACATACATACAATAAATTTTTACAAAGATTGGTTGACTTATAGGTAGAGCTAGTACATACAATGCCTAAAGCCACTGTTACGCAAAGCGTTTCGGGCATTTGTTTATAAACTCTTCTGGTAATTACTACTCTCTCAACTTCATCGCCTACATAGTTTTGTTTGGCTGCAGGCATAATATAAGTTCTTCTCAAGCAAAGATAAGAGATATAGTACTTATTTAAAATATCACACATTTCTTTGTCATTATCAGTTACCCGACCTGTCTCAGTTTTCAACAACTGGGGGTCTTCATCCTAATCTTTGTTTGATTTACCAGTACTGTATTGGAACAAACCTTTATGATTTGTCTTCTTGCCCTCCTAGGGTTTCCTTTATAGTTAGTTGTATCTTTGAGATCGTACCCATGCCTTGTGATTGGTGGAGTTATCCACTTGTTGCCTGTATCAAAAGACAAACCAACAACAACTGGACTAACAACTGACCTTCCCCAGGATACAATACACAACAGTTGTCTTAACTCTGTGGTGCATAATTACTCCTAATTCCTAATCTGGACCATTTGTTCCTCAATTGTGAGTCGATGACATAGACCATTGTGCCACATGGCCCAATTTTTTTTATCAGATTTAATATACAATACTGGTACAGTATATGGGGGGTGGGGATTTTTTTATTTTAAAATATTCATAATATTAATAGCTGGTTCGATCCCATCTTGCTCCAATGATTTTCTCTTAGATACTGTATATCACATTGTGATTTCCTTGTGTATTTATAATATTGGATTGTATTTTGTGAGGTGTCTTGGACAACCTCAAACCCTGCCCCAAACATCATCATGCTTGGCGACTTCAACTTGCATTACTTAATACCCGAGAGAATCTCAGGAAGCAGATTAAGTGAACAGTCACACACACAAATGACCTCTTGCAGATGTGGGACAGATTTATCTAGACCAACAAATAGTAGAGCACACTAGAAAAGAGATCACTCTAGATCTTATTTTTACATAAAGTGATGGACTGATTAGGGACTTAATGATTACAAATACAGGAACTGTACATGTTACTCAGATCACAGCCCAATTGAAGTTTAGACTTGCATGGGCAATAGACCTGTGCAGTCAGCCTCAAATTCAAGAGAAGGAGAATTCAGCAAATTAAATTTTAATAACTGATTAACTGGGAACACACAAACCAAGATCTCACAGAAATATGCTGGGGAAAGACAACATATCAGGCGGTGATTCATAGGTCAGGTTATGAGTAGCTGCATCCAACAGCCTGAGTGACCAAACAACCAACCAGGAGGCCTGGTAAGAGACTGGGCCTCAAGGGCGTTGATCTCCGGAACTGTCACAATCTAGCCACAAGATAGCATGGCGTTATTGCAACATAAAATGCGCTCAAAAGGAATTACGGTACTGTATTGGCAAAGTAGGAAGGTATCATTGCTGCTCGCAGTCTGGTCATAGTAGTTCTGTTAACCATTACTGTTTACAGCCTGGTTACAGAAGTTCTGTTAATCATTATTGCTCATAGCCTGGCCATGGTAGTTCTGTTTGCCAATGCTGCTCTCAGTCGTGTCATGGTAGTTCTGTTAATCATTGCTGCTCATATCCAGGTCACAGTAGTTCTGGTAATCACTGCTTCCTACATCCTGGTCTCTGGAGGTAGTTCTGTTCATCATTGCTACCCACAGCCACATTGTAGTTCTGTTAATCACCTCTTGTCTGGTTTCTGTATGCTGTTGTAAGTAATGGTCCACCCAATTTCCTCTACATTTAATATTATAACTTTGGTATAACACTTCAGGTGAGATATGATGTATGCATTGAAGATAAGATATAACTACATACTTCATATAGATAAGATTATATATTTGAGGTTGAACATGCAGTGTATACTAAAGAAAGAAAGTAAACATGGTTGAAATAGGACCAATTTAGTTGAGATTGAATTTGTTATTACTACATGACTGACTACTTAAGTCAGTGACAATTTTTTTTGTGTTAAAATTTTTTTTTTAGCATGAAAACAGGACTTTTTGCAGTGAAGATTGGACTTCTAATATACTAGAGGTCCTGCTAGGATATTGTTTGTAGTTGACAGAAGGCTGCTGTATTTAAGGTTGGACTTGTGGCAGAGTTTGGCCATTTTTAATTGAGAGAGATGTACGTCAGATATGATTTGTGTGCTGTAGATAGTTGTTTTCTTTCTAGTATAGTAGTGAAGATTGGTTGGTGTAATGGTGATAATGTTTTGGTAAAAAAAAAAAATATAACAAAACTTATATTTAAATTAGTTTATCAACTAGTTAAAACAAGGAAACTTTAAAGCAGAATAATATTGTACATCAAACCAATTTTGACATAAAAACATGATTATTACATCAAGTAATTTTTATGTAACACTGCCCGAGAAAAACATTAAACAATCTTTATATGATACAGACGGCACTGGGACGGCACGTGAACCATCACTTCAGCACAGCCACTGCCGCTCCAACTCCTCGCCCGCCCACCCAACCCTCGCCCTCCAAGTTGATACGCAAAAATGGGCGCAAGTGTCGCTACAGAAAAAAACCTTGGTCAGGTAGGTAACAAAATATGAATTTGGTTTTATTCAAACTCTCGAGAGTTGAGTAAAGAGTTCTTTCGACTATTTTATCATTTATACTGTGGAATTATTATAATGAAAACACCATTTGAAAAATTGTTTTAATTGTGGTTCATGCAATGTTTAAAACAAACATAAATGAATAGAATGGTATTTTATTCTGTATATAAAGTGTAGAAAAATTTTCTGATATATTACTCCTCCTTCCTAAATGCCAGACTCAAGGGCGAAAGCTCCAGTCCGTAAGTAATACACTGTATGGGGAAAAGGGTTGCTTGCAAACGTCTTCATTACCTTTTGTTGCTTATTGTGTTTTATGTATGCAAGTGTGGTGATTATTCCGTGTGAAAATTTTCTTTGTTGCCACAATAGCTTAGTTATAGTTTTAATATGTAATTTTTGTTGTGCATAGAAATAAAAATTATATATACTCTATACAATATGTATAACACTGTACATTATATATATAATGTGTACGTATGTCTTGTGTCTCTATATATAATGTGTACGTATGTCTTGTCTCGTGCTTTTTAGGCAGAACTGTCCAACTTCGTCTAGTAATCATGGACTACCACATCTGATTAGGCAGATTTTTTTTTCTGGGAGGAGCACCTTGTGGCTCCCTGAAGCTACTTCTATGATAGTATAATACCAGTAGGTGGCATCAATCTCGGAGTTCTACAGCCTGCAAGGTACCAAAAGCCAGAACCTGGCCCTTCTCACAGAGGCGCAGGGACCAGTGGCATTTATATATTAAGTGATTCATTTATTACACCACCCAGGCACCCGACCCAGTAATGCACCAAGAAAATTGGTGAAGCAGAACAAACCACTGCTGGCTTTAAAGGAGACCAACGCCTCCAGAAATGGCTATAGAACTTCCCCAACAATGTAAACAAATGAACAAAATTTCATGAAATTAGCACCAGCTCTGGAATGACTTTTGTTGCCTGGTGTTTGGGGGATGGGGTTTCCATTCATCTAAGGTTTGGGCAGCCTTGTTTCTTGTTGGGGTGCCAGGGCCTTGGTTGCCTTGTGTGGTCTTTGCTCATCTTTTTTTAGCTGAGCATCTCTTCTTCATTCTTGTGTTGGTGGTTCTCCCTCCTCTCTAGTGCTTGCTTGCTTGCCCATGACTTGTTTATAAGAAACAAGGGAGTCAGGGACTTGACTTCAGGGAGTCACATGAGGCTTCCCCCAGAAAACCAGAATTGAATGAAATGAAATGCCAATTTTTGGGTGAGCCCCGGTGGCTACTTGACACCCTGACACCCTCCCTGCAGGTTGTCCAGGGGTTTGCATCATCGTTGAACTGAGGGGTGGAGCAGCTGGCTGAACCCTGGCTGCCTCCCTCCTACCCTGAACAAGGGAAAGGGTGAAGAGAATTAAGGGAAGGAAACTATCTGGATTAAATGCCAAGCCATTACAACAATATAGCACTTGGAAGGGATCAGAATAAGGATCTGGGATGGGATTGGACAGGGAAAATGAATGGTGCCCAATCACTTGGACAGTTGAGGATTGAATGCCTACCTGCATGAAGCGAGAATGTCGCTCTACCATATAGCACAAGAAGTTTGGCATGGAGAGAACGAGCTGGCACTATTTCATGAAATTTTGAACATTGTTTACATTGTTCGGGGAGTTCTACAGCTATATCTAGAGGATGTGGTCTCATTTAAATTCAGCAGTGGTTTTATTTATTATGCTGACTTTGTGGGTGTCTTCGTCAATGGTGGCATATGTGAATAACTTAATATATAAATGGCACTACTCCCTGTGCCTCTGTGATGTGGGGGCCAGGTTGTGGATCTTGGTCCTTGTAAGCCATAGAACTCAAGAGACTAAGGAGGCCTGCTAGTATGACACACTATCAGTGATAATAGCTTCAGGAAGCCACCGGGGCTCACCCAGAAATTGACGTTTCAATACATTCAGCTTTTTTTTTGTGGTATACTAACCAGAATTTCTATAATATTGCGATATTGACATACAGTATTTGAATGATTAAAGTTATTATTTAATATTGATCAAATTTTACTTGTTGGGCTAGTATGGACTAGGCCTGTTTAGGTAAGATGATGGTGCAAAGCTAGTTTTGATTTAAAATATATGAAATGCATATCATAAGTGTTGAATGGAATATATCTATCGGTGGAACAAAGTAATTCAAGCTGTAAGAAGAGATAATAGTAACAATGAGATGTGGTAGCGGTGGATAATAATACTAATGAGCTTTCCAACAATTTGGTAAATATAGATTGTGGATTGGAGTGACAGCACACAAAATGAGGTCAATAGGAATAACTGGTAAAGTAGGACACTGGATACTCAGTTTTCTGTCAAACAGAACACAAAGGATAACAGTCAACCATATAAAATTGAGTCCAAGCGCAATTAAAAGCACCGTACCTCAGGGTACAGTCCTTGTATCACTGCTTTTCCTTATTCTCATGTCAGATATAGACAAAAATACAAGTCTCAGATTCGTATCATCCTTTGCAGATGACACAAAAATGAGCATGAAAATTACCTCTGCTGAAGACATTGAAAACTTCAAGCAGATATTAATAAAGTTTTTGACTGGACAACAGACAATAACATGATGTTTAACAGTGATAAATTCCAGGTATTCAGGTACGGTAAAAATGAGGACCTTAAACATAATACAGGGTACAAAACACAATCAAATGTGCCCATAGTAGGAAAGCGGCATGTAAAAGATTTGGGAATAAAGATGTCTGACGACTTAACATTTAGGGAACATAACCAAGCAAATATTGCGTCACCCAGAAAAATGATAAAATGGATTACGAGAACATTCAAATCCAGGGATCCCATGACAATGGTTGCACTATTCAAATCACTTGTACGGTCCTGTCATGAGTACTGTTCAGTACTCACTTTACCCTTCAGAGCAGGAGAGATTGCTGAAATAGAGGGAATCCAGACAACATACACAGCATTCATAGATGCAATAAAGCACCTAAATTATTGGGATCATCTCAAAGCTTTCCAAATGTACTCGCTAGAAAGGAGACAAGAGAGATATCAAATAATATACACACGGAAAATACTGGGGGGTGAGGTCCCAAATCTACACAGTAAAATAACAACATACTGGAGTGAACGATAGGGAAGAAAATGCAGAATAGAGCCAGTGAAGAGCAGGGGTGCCATAGAGACAATAAGAGAACACTGTGTAAACATCAGGGGTCCACGGTTGTACAACACCCTCCCAGCGAGTATAAGAAATGTTGCCAGAACAACCGTGGACATCTTCAATAGAAAATTAGATAATTTTCTTCAGGAAGTGCCGGACCAACTGGACTGTGGTGGATATGTAGGCCTGCGGGCTGCTCCAAGCAACAGCCTGTTGGACCAAGCTTTCACAAGTCAAACCTGGCTTCTGGCCAGGCTTAGGGAGTAGAAGAACTCCCAGAACCCCATCAAGCAGGTATCATGCAGGCATCAAGCAGGAACATGATACACACCTCCAGAGGATTCCTGATCAGTTGGACTCTTGATTCATTCATCAGACTGTGTGCACCAGTATCTAACCATCAGATTGACCAGACCTGGTCATAGACCAAAATATGGAGACATTAGTCTTGGAACCAGTTACAGAGGACCTCAAGATAATTTCACACATGTGACTGAAGACCAGCAATGATCATCCTATGATTGTTGCCTCGTTCCTTCTTAACCACTGAGCATTTATATCTGATATTAATGTAAAAGGTAGCATGGTGTGTCATATATCTGGTGGCATTTTCAATTAATTTGGGGAAAATTTGATTTTAGTTGCTGAGCATCGACAATTGGGTTTCCTTAGCACTGGCGTTCGACCACATATAATATTTGTTAACTGTGATACACCTTTCTAGGTGTATGCTATTGTCATTCTCCAGTTTAATTAAGGATTTAATTAACAAAAAATTAAAAATATAGCACCTTAGTTTTGACGATAAAATTTTTATTTTCTTTCTTTACGATTCTTGTATGAAACATGCATCATGGAAACCCAAAGGTTCTAATTCTTATTTTATGTGTTTCTTTTAGATAGGTTTCATATTTTGTTATGTTTTGTAGTATATTTAGAGGAATACTGGCATTTATATTGTTTCATTTTGTCTAGCATTGCATGTGCTATATAAGTTTATTTCTTCAAGGAGTGAGTTGCTGAGCACTGGTATTCTTGGTCTTGTGTTCTCTGTTTGTTAAAATCTTTTTTATTTATGTACATTATTGAATTGGTGCTTGCTGTGTATATTGTTATTTAAATTTTATGTAACAATTTAAAATTGAAACTGCTACAAGCATGTAGTATTGTTTGTAAAAAGATGAATGTATGGTTTAATTAACGTATCTTGGAATTAGTTTATTAATTTCTGGGGGACCTCCTTGTGGCTCCCTGAAGCTAGAGTGTCAAATAGTGCCAAACTACTAGGTGCCATCAGTCATGGAGTTTTTTAGGCCTACTGGGGACCATGAGCCGGAACCTTCCCCACCCCCCCTCCTTTCCTCAAGAGGTGCAGAGAGCAGTGGCACTATGATAAAATTGTCTGAATTTTTTATCATGTCTACCACCACTGGAGAAGCACCCAGAAAGTCAGCAAAACAAAACAGACCCTTGCTGGTTAGAAGGAAGACCAACACTTCAAAATTGCAAAAAGAACTCCCCAAACAGTGTAAATAAATGATTGAAAATTCATGTAACTAGGGCAAGCTTGTTCACCCCTCCTCCTCCTCCTCCTCCTTGTTTGGGGGTAGGAGGGAAGCAGACTGGGTCACCCGGTTAGGCCATCCTCAGTTCTTTGCTGATGGTAGACAAAGTGAGGTGGCCTCTCTCTCACACACTGGTTTCCATGTTCCGCTACAGCTAAGTGGCATTTTTTCCCCCTTTGTGGCTGTTACAGTGCATGTTTGCTCTGTGTGAACCAGGAGTATAGGGTACTTGGAGCTGCTTATGTGCAGCGTTCGTTTTCCTGTCTGCTCCCTAGTGCTGTCCTTGCACTGCCAAGGGTTCTCTTTCTTAAAGTGTTCAGGGTTCACTTCCTTAGAGGGACTTCCTTGCTTGTGGTGGTCCTCGCCCTGGCTTAGCCAGTTTGTATTTGGCTTTCTGCCTTCCTTGGGTTCAGAAATGAATTTTGGCTTGTGGGTCGCACTGGGTTCACGCAACCTACCCAAGGCACTCTGAGATTGGCTTTCTTTGCATTCTTATAGTCCATACGACTAACCCAGT